TAAAATGTCTGAAGATGCAATTTTGTGGTTTTGGCTTTGGATTCCTCAAATATTAAATGCACATGAATACATGCAGTAATTATCTTAAAAAGAGGAGGGGTAAAAGCAAAGATTATTTACCTTTTCTACGAAAATATATTTACATTAATTATTAACATGTAGAAATCCCCGAATATCCCCGATAATTATTCTAGTTAAATGCTTCATAATAAAATGAGAAACATCAATCACATTGTAAGTCATAGGTGCACAACTGCTTTAGGTAGAGTGCACGCTAGCTGTTTAAGAGGCTCGTACCTCCTGTGAACATCTATCTTCAAAAGAAATAAAATAGCACACTGTTATATGTCACGGGTTGTACGACCCCTAATTCAAGTGTGCACATCACTCCAGTTCGCTGAAAGGGAGTGTCGCCTACGAGCCCCTATTGCATAATGTACATATAGCAAGAACATGCAAACACATGATACAAATACATTAAGTGGCATATATGTATATTGTTAATAACACGGGCGCACTGCATAATATATATGCATAGCTTTGATCATGCAAATGTATCTAGCAAATATACCAATAGTAATGCAAAGATAGCATGCATGCATACTGAACAAGCATAAAATGCATCGAGTACTGTGCAAGCACATGATGCAACATACCAATCATACAAATGTACTATTTATCTGTGTATGTGCATTATGTCAATATACTTTACAAATATATTATGCATGTTCTATAAGCATACAAATCATATAGACACATTATGCATGTCAAGTAAATATATTATGCGTCACTTATATGTACATCATATCAATCCTCTAGGTGCATTATGTTAATCATGCAAATGCACATGCAAATATACAAATATGTATATAAGCATGCAAATACATCATGCATATGTATTGTCTCATACTTAGATACATCATATACATGTTTTGTATCGCATACAAATATATTATGTGCATGTATTATACATCATATAGATGTAGTAAGCGTGCACACCACACAAAATAACAATGCATAATGCAAGATGCATTGAAAAGTATGCTACCGCAAGGGCTTTGACGAGCATGATATATACGTGATGTCTGAGGATGCTGCATGGATTGAAAGTAATGACTTTTAAAGTATGTAAACATACACCAAATATTAATACAAATGCACATACGTAAGTGTAATTATGCAAGTTGCACTGAAAAATAAATATCCGCATATGCTCCGACAATTGCATTGCGCTCCTAAACCCTTGCCTGAGAATGTTGCACGGGTCAAAAGTTAACTTAGGATCAAGTTCGATCCTCCTCTTTGAATGGACCGGAATTGACATGTTGAACCACCAAACAAATACACGGTAGTAGTGCCAACCAGAGTATTTTATTTTATACGTTCATATTAGACCTTCAAGATATATCACAAGAAATGTTAACTTCTAAAAACATAAACTTTTGGAATCGTCGCTCTTTGAATCAATCAGAATATTTGAATTTTATATGTTCATCTTAGGCCTTAAAGGTCTTTTATAAAGAAAATTCATTCATTAAAATACATGCTCTTAGTTCTGATATGTATATGATAACTCTAAAATTAAGAGATGAACCTGATCCTCTGTTGGCGATCAAATTGTCGACAAGGTTCAAATAATAAAATTAAATTACTCAATCACTCCGATGATGGCAGTGTTAAACGTAGATTTCAACCGGATGGGTTAATTCTAAATATTCAAAATGTCTCCCAAACCCATAAAAATATGAACATTTAAAGTGATTTCAAAATCACCCCGATGATAGCTGTGTTGAATGTTTATCTCAACCGGAGGGCATTGCGTATTTTCAAATGTCCTCAAACTTCCACAAAATATAAATATTTTCAAATGACCTCAAAAACATCCAGATTGACCGTGTTCAACATAGATCTCAACTAGAGGGGTTAACTTCAAATATTCAAAATGCCTCCCAGAGGCCCATAAAAATTCCAAAAATATAAAATCAAAATATTTAAAATCGAAATTACCCATCAAAACACTTAAAGAAAAGTTCATCCACCATTGTCAGCAATAGTTTGTTGAGGTGGACACTTCAAAAATCACTTTAGCTCACAAAGTGCTAATGTTTTGTCGAAAATATTTTTAGGATTTATTCTCAAATAATCTCTTATCAGCAAGGACGTGGCACGTGTCCTCTAACTGGTAGTTTCATCGCCAATTACACCACACCTAAGGTTTTGTCGCTAAATGGCGCCATAAACAAACTGTTATGATCAGGACCTTTTGAAACTAGTGATTTGCCGCAAAATGACACAATTATATTACGTTCATGGCCAGAGGCCGTAAGTTTCCCAATGACACTAAATCCTTGATGATGAGGACATCGTCAGCGATTTCGACACATGTACCATCAGGAGACGTCGTAGATCGACGGCCACGATCATGAGTTGTATTTTAGTCATTTATTGTAGTAGTTTATTTTATTTTATGTTTTTTCCGCTTTTGCCCTTATGGGTATTTGGTCGCTATTATAGCCCAAGGGGCATTTTAGTCTTTTGTTTTCTTTGTCATGTGGAGGCCTATGTATATGGCCATTTTCCTATGTAAGATTAGTTTTTGATAAATGAAAATGACATTTCATGTTCTCTTTGTGAGTGCAAACCTCCTCGATCTCTTAGTGAGTTCGTAGGAGAAGCTAGATCTCTTTGTGAGTTCTAAGTTTTCTTGTTTTTCTATTTTCTCTTTATTTCTCTTGATCTCGTCGTCGTCACGGAGGTTTGGGTTGAAGCATTTGTGGAAGATTGAAACTCACTCTTTGAATCCCTAGAATTTTCCCTACCTCTTCCCCCCCCTTGCTCATTGCCGCCGCCCCTCCTGGATTGCCTAGGCAGCCGGCCTGCAGCCCCAACCCGCCGGCTAGCAGCCACCGGCCAGCCAGCCAGCCCGCCGACCTCTTGGTTCCCCTGCCGCCGGCCCCCTTCTAATTCTCCTCTTTGAATTTTGAAATCTCTTCTCTTGATGACTTTCCTAATTAAGCCATATTAATTTAGGAAATTAATTAAGGGGAGTTATACTTATTTGAAATTCAAATTCGTTTTCCCTCATGTTTGCCTTTGAATTGGGGAGTTACCTAATACAACTAAATTCTGAAATTACTTCAGATTTTAATTAGTTTTTACTTAACCATGTGGTCCCCTCTTGTTTATTTCCCAAACCCCTCACCTCTCTCTATGGCCGGCCACTCCTCTCTCTCTCTACCCTATTAATTCTCTTTTAATACACCTTTAATCCCTTCCCAATTGAAATTAAGTTCTCTACACTTAAGGAAATCTGAAATAAAATTCAGATTTTGTGTTCTTCCCCCCATAGCCTCACCCTCCCCTCCTTCCCTCTCAAAACCGTGAACCCCTATTTTCCCCTAGCTCACGGCTAGCTCTCCCTCTATACCCTTTGGGTGTTTCGTTCCCTTCCGGCAAGAATGCATGGCGGAACCCGAATGGAACTTTGGATTTGTGCATGACGATCGAGATCAAGTTGACATCCTCCAATCACCGTTCTTTGACGTGGGCTTTGATTTCGACGACACCAACGAGAATTACATCGACCGTATCAATTACACCTTAGTTGACGTGATTGACGAGCAAAGATCAAAGGGACGTTGGATCATCATTGGACGACCATCATCCTCCACTCCGGCCACCTATCCAAGAACGACGATCCTAGGTTCCTTCTTCCTAGGAGCGACCTCAATTCTAATGTGGAGACTCTTCTTCCGCTAAAGCCTAGACTGTTTGAGCGTACGGGCTCCAAAGGTGAGAGTTTTCATTATTAAATCATGAATTCTTGTGTATCGTCGTAACTTTACAATTGATCTTTGCGTTTCCTTAAATTGTTTGGGTAATCGACTTCGCTCTTCTTTGCCTAAGCAAGTTAAAAACTAAGAACTCCAAGGATCAATCCTTGTTATAAGTAGTAACTTTATTGTGGGAACACTTTGTTAATTCGCTCTCTTTAATTTCTTAAAGTAACTTCTGTTTGTTTCACATCACTTGAGATATGAATCGATAGGGTACAAAGCCCTTTGTGAGCTAAGGTGGATTCAAATTTGTCCCTTAGACAAATATTCACCTCAGGTCTATAAGGTACCCTTGGACGAAGCAACCCATGGCTGCCGATAAGGATATTTCTATCAGGTTGGGTCGACTACCTCCTCTGATTAGGTAGACCATGGACCATGATGGCCCGGGTTGACAGAACCATGAGATCTTGATCAGCTCCATGATGCATTCCCTCACCATCCGCTTTAAGTGCAGGTTGGTGAAATTTTCAATTCTAAATATTAAATTTCCGAAATGAAAACACATGCTGCTCTTATATGTCGGATAACACATATCTCTACGTATCCATTTGACAACTAGCCTTAATCGAAAGTTCTCTCCCACTATCGGGAGGAGTAATTAAATATCGGGCTTGCGCCTATAGGAAACCAGAACTCAAATCTAAAGTCCTCACAAAATGAGGGTGAAATTTCTGGTTAGTATCTTATTTCAAACCCAACCTGCTTTCTGAAAATTTATCCTGGAACTTAATTCGTTAAAATTTTCCCGGAGGGGAGGTCGGGGCGCTGATTTCGGTGCCCACTGTTATAGAAGTGCCTTTGCCTTTGGCTTCAACGGGAGTTTGAGAAATTTTTGCTGCTTGGATATGATTATGTTCAAAAGCTCTACATGCTGTTAGGAGGTAGACTGATTGATGCTAATTTTTCCAGTTACTCTTTGCTTATTTGAGCATGTTGTTGCAAATTTTTACCATGAATCAGTGAAATTATCTTGCGGCTTTCAATCTAGCTTCAGAGTTCTATCATCTGTGATTATTGTGTTTCTAAGCATCATTGTCATTGCCCGTGGTCACTTTTCTATTCATGCTGTATTCATGTTTTTTTTTATCAAGATGTACTTGTGAATTTTTTGTGCAAGACGTTGTTGAACTGTCCCATCTGCTCAAAACTTTTGAATTGCAGGGATATTTTAGATACTGGACAGCAGAAATTAAGAAGTATATGTCAGAACTTTCACGAGCAGAAGAAGAAAAAGAATCTAAGCTGCAGGGGATTCTTTTGAGGCTTATGGAACAATTCAGCGAGCATCATAGCAAATGGAGACAATTAGTTTCCGTTATTGCAGGTATTTTGTCATTCTCTCTGATAGGGAAAGCAGACATCATTACTTTACGCGCACATTCTTGTTATTGACAATTATGTGTTATTCTATTCAGACCTTTCCATATCCGAACAAGGCTTTCTGATGTAATTTTTTTTTTCTTGCAGCAAAAGTTTTATATTTCAATTTGAAAAGAACTAAATTTACAAACCCTTGCAAGTAATCTATGCACAGTAAACTAATATAATCGAGAGTATAAACAGAAAACAGCAAATAACAAGAATCAGTAAATAAATTTAAACATGAACACGAGAAAGCACAAGATAAAACAAATTATATGGTTTGACATGGGGTTGCCTACATCCATGTAGAGGAATCGAGACTTAGTTTTTATTGAATCATTTGTCTAGCAAGTTAAAGGTTTGCAAGTGTTCAACCTCTGTTCTTGATCACAGATTTCGCTTAAAAATGTATCCTTGTCTTCCTTGTGCGAAACACTTGCATCCCTTGAATAGGAGATAATGATGAACCTTGGATAACTGCAGCTCTTAGTTTGACTTCTGGATGTTGATTGAGGAGGTGAAAAATGATGGTGAAGATGTTCAACCCGACAACCTCAATTTCCCTCCAAGAAATCGATTTATGGATAACCAACCTTCCTGATATCCTGTAATTCTCGGTTTTTAAAACCTGAGAATGATCTTAATACCTTCTCCGGCTAACAGCACTCCAAACAACACCTGTAGCTCTTTTCTTCTCTTTGCTCGTGAAAGTCCTCCTCTCCTTTAAGCCTTTCAATTTTTCTTTTTTATCTCACCCATTATTTCCTTTTTCTTTTGTTGCCAAAATATAGCCATCTGTAATCCATATAGAAGGAACTAAAAACTAGAAAGCAATACAAGAAATAGAGTTAAGTAAACAAACATAACTGGATATTTCATAAATAAGAAAAGGATCAAAATGATTTCTCAACTTTTTGTGAGGGATCAAAATAGTCTCCAAATCTTTTGAGGGGTAATTTGATCCTCAATTCTTTAAATGAGATCTTTTTGATCCTAACATCTAATGTTGGAGCCTAATAGTATTAAATGTAAGAGTATTTTGATCATTTTTTAATTAAATATTTATTAAATATAATTTTCAAGTAAATTATAATTTTACTTAAAAATTTTATCAAACATTTTTTTAATAATAAAAAAATATTTGGTCATATTTTATAAATATGATTTGTAAAAAGATGTGTGTCCAAGTTGAAAATAAAATCTATTTGCTTTTGATTTCTCTAAATCAATAAATATCATTTTTTATAAAATATAATTAAAATGTTTTAAATTAAAACTAAAATTATTATTAAATTTTTTATTAAAAAAACGTTTAAGAAATTTTTTTAGAAAAATTATAATTACATGAAATATATATTTAATTAAAATTGACAAAAATATTCTTATATTTAACATCATTAACTCCAACATTTGATGTTAGGACAAAAAATATCCCATTTTAGAAAGTTGGGGACCAAATTGATCTCTCAAAAGAGTTGGAGATCATTTTAGTCCCTCATAAAGAGTTGAGGGACCATTTTGATCATTTTTTCTAATGTAAAAAATAAGGGATATCTATATTAAATTTCTTGTGGTTTGTTTTTGTAGTGAAAAAGAACATAGTATTGAATTTTCAATCAAGGAGAAGTGAAATGTTGAATGAGCAGAAATTCAGGCTGAAAATCACCCAAATAAATTGAAATTGCTTTTATAACCTTTAAAGATTTATATGATGGAAGCATACTTTGGTACATGGAAAGGGCAAAGAAGTAATTTCAAGCTAATTCAGTGAAATTTTCTGCCTCTATTTCAGCCTGCTTAATATTTCTCTATGGACATATTTTCTTATGTAGGAAATTACTTACCATTTTTTGCAAAAGTTTCACACCATAATGATTTATATACTGATAAACTTAAAATTAGTAGGATGCATGGTGTGCAAATATGAAATTCACTAAAAATCGAAAAAAAAAATCTGAAACTGAATTTGCAAGTTGATCCATGAAAAACAAACAACATTAAAGCTGAATTCAATGAAACTCGCATCCAGAACTCAGTTCCAACGAGTTTCAAATACTTACATGGAAACAAATTGGAACCATAGAAGAAAGCCTTCTTAATCCATGGAAGAGAAAGAAGCCATTTCTCAATCGTGCTTCTTCTTGAATGTAATGCAATCCAGAACCCTCCTCTTGGGCTTCTCCTTATATTATCAGGAAATCCTGGAAGCTGGAAGAAAACCTCAAAGCTTGAGTTTTGAAGCCAGTATCTTAGAATTCTACAATTTGTGCTCTCTGCAATGAGCAGAAAAGAGCCATCTGAGCTTAATGCAACGCCATTTGGGAATGATAGGTTAGAGAGCAGGATTTGTGTTTTTTGGGTGGTGGAGTCATATTGCATTAATCTTCCTGTGTTGTCTCCTGTTATGATTGCTGATAAGAACTCACTGTAAGAAATCACAGCTTTAACTTCAGTTGGATACATGAGAAAATAAAAACAGTCAATCGAGCTGTGCTAAGACACCCAAAAAAAATATATAAAAATAGTCAATCTAGTTGGTGACTGGCGCGACAGTGAGATTGAAAGAACTAATTATTTGATCATTCATTCATGTAATATATTTCCTTATTTAGACTAGCAGATGGTGTGAAACGTTCTGCAATATTTTTGAAGACTTTGTTTTTGCAACTTCTAGGATAAATGAGTAGAGGACTTCTGAACCCAATGAACCCATAAATGCAAAAATAACTGTATTTTGATTTCTTCACGAGTTCACATATGCTTTAGTCCTTCAAACCGACCCAAACTTCCACTAACGAATAATCACGTCCATAATCCGTTTTCATATACAAGGATTGGGCTGGACGATTGGTTATTTCTCTGATCTGATTTTGAATAAGCTATTGGATGGGTTTGGTTAGATTAAACCTTGCCATGCTTGCTTGACTGGGTATAGTTAAGGAAAAATCTCCTAGTTCCAGCTAAAGCACCTCATCTCCTAGCCAATTGGGCTTTCATTTAGGAGGTGATAAATACTTTGTGTTTACCGATGGCCATCCCTCGCTAGATGGTCGTTTTCAAAGGTACATAACACTGAATTTCGAGCTCGACTCGTTAACGAGCTCGCGAACCGAGTTTATCTAGTTTCAAGCTCGAGTTCGAGCTCGTTTGATTATCGAGCTCGAGTTCGGTTCAGATGATGCTCGGCTCGATTACTCGTCGAGCGGCTCGATTAAAACGCGGAAGGGGAACTGGTGAAAGGTGACGCATGGGCGAACCGAAGACATCTACGCGTGCGGAGTTGCGAACTGCGGAATATGGAAGGCGGACTGGTGGATCACGGAAGGCTTGTGAGCTCGTATTTCGTGGCACGAGCAACTCGAGCTTAAGATTTGACTCGCAAGTCGAGCTCAACTCTACTCGCTTGCATCCCTAAGCCAAATACATAGCCACTTCAAGTGGCATGAAAATAGAGAGAGCATGCAAAGGAGAAAATGAGCCATAATATATCTTCTTATGTCTACTTTTATGAAACATCTACTCAATTCAAAGACAAATTGGTGCCACAAATCATTTTATATATAATTTATCAACGTGAAATAATGTACCTTCTTCTGAATTTTGCACTGCTGACAGTAAAATATATTACTCCAGTTTCCTGATCAATATCCAATGCATTGGTGAAGTAAAATGGAGCTCCTGCCTCTTTTGAAACTGTGGTAGGAACTTTATCTTTGTTGTCAAATATTAACAAGCCAAAATATGCATCAGCAACATATAGTTTTCCTGTCTTCTTACAGAAACATAATCCAAGTGGTCTCCCACATAAATATTCCTGTTTTGGATCTTGTGAGCCTCTACATTCATCCAACCTATAATAATTCAGGTAAATCATTGCCAAAATTTTGTCCACTTGGAAAATTTATAATATCTTTATTTGTGAAAAGACTAACATTAGCATGTGTTTATCACATATATCATCATTAGCATCATCATCATCACTAATTTTATCATAAAAATTTTGGGATCAATTGATTCAGTGTATAAGAAAGGAAGGCTTTAATAATTGGAAGTTCCTGGTTGTGTGATTGCTGCATGAAAATAGTCTCAAATGTTGATATCTTGCCCCATGCATATCCTATCATCATAAATGCATGCATGTGCATGGGTGATATAAATATATGAATATATGTATATTTATATATATTTCAATCTGTTCTAAAGCGGATTTAGGATGAAAATAACCATTCTCCTCCTTGAAGGATATTTCTCCTATTAGGTTGACAATTATTATTCTTCGCTCAGTTACATTTTTATGTTACCACCCATCCATGCATGACTTAAAGATTTTTTAAGGACTGCCTAGTGTAATTAAAAAAATAAATCTAAGTGAAAGGAATACAAGGGTTTTGAAAATTTTCTTATTTGATTCAATCAAAATGGAATGTAAAATAAGTTATTGATATATTTGAAATTTATCTTTTAATTTGTTTTCAATGAATTAGGAGTTTGCTTAATTTGGATAAATTCCAAATACAATGCCCGTGTGAAACTTCTCCCCTCGTTGGCGCCTACCCACACAACTCGGTGGTCACATGCCACTCAACATCGATCATCTTATGCCCATGGTCACCCACCAACAGTTAGTCATTGCCAGCCGATGTCATACCATCACAGTTGATTAGCCACCGCCTCCGACCTATCGATACCACACCATTGTCATCAGTTGCCCCCCTTCTCTATTGTTGCTCATCGCCCCATTGCTACATCTAGCTGCCAAAGGCCGGCTACTACTGTCAATTGCCACCTACCGCCCTACCTCCATCACACTACTGCTAATAGGTATTAGCACTGCATGCACCGCCTCCACTGCCAACTACTGTTGGCATTGCTTTACACTAAATTCATGTTACTTCAAACTAAACACAAAAGAAATGATCTCCTACATTTGTTTTACACTTAACCAGATAACTCTAAAATATTTAAATACAAAACATTTATGTTATATTGTATTCCTTTTACGTTTTGTCCTTTTTTAGCAAACCAAAAGGCTTGTTAAGATCATTTAATTATCGGTTCAATTTATCAAAATTTTACACTATATCATATTATATGAAATGATAATTGCGATTATAGAGTATAGATGGCTAGAAATAGTCTGAAATCAAGCAATAGGTTGTTGATGTTATTTTTCATGTATGGAATATTTTTTATTGATGATGAAATATATGAATACAACAAAACTTTTAAAAAGACTTCTACAATTCATCCAATCTTTATTGCATTCCTTCACATGTTTGATGAGTAATCCAATCTTCACAAAATTTGATCTTATGTAGTTCTTACAAAGCAAAATCAACAAAATGATCTTAGCTATAAAATTCTATTAAGTGTAAATAAAACATAAAATTAAGAGGAAAAAAAATTCATCCTTCTGAGTCTTCTCCTAAGAGGACAAAACACATGTCCAAATATATTTAGAATTTTGAACAGGAGAGATGCTCTATTCCTAATTCCTATCATCAATAATGCATTCCTTTTTCCATTATTCATGGTTTCAAGTTTCAACCTATTTTTGTTTAGTCTCAAAGTCAAAATGAAGACCATTGATGTTATTTCTTGCGAGTAAAGCAATAAAGGGCACAATTGTTAAGGCTACCATAATTATGGATTTTTGCTACAAAATAAATCTGAAGTGCAAATTAGAATGTATCCATCAAAACCTAAAAGATACATATTAATGAAAAATAATAAACTTCAATTCAAAATCAATTATTTTCACAAAAAATAAAAAGTATAACACAGTATATAATATTTTAAAAATTCATAATAATATATAAATATGTATGTATGTTATGCGCTACAAGAAAATTTTGAATTATTGTCGGACTATCCGACGAAAATATATACGCCGGTAAAAGCAGCAAACCAACTGGCATATTTTTCGTCGTTATTGTAATGACGGCCTTTCCAGCGGAAGAGCCGCCAGCAATTTATCGGCGGATAATCTGCCGGCCTATTCGTCGTTATTTATAAGACCGACAGTTTATTCCAGCAGCATATTGTTCGCCGAAAATTAACGGTGAAGTATCCGGCGGATATTCCGTCGGTCTACCTAAACTTGATGAATATTTTGCGGCTGATAGTTTGATGGTAACAACCAATTTTCCTATAGTGATGTATGTAATTATGTCATGCATGCATTATATGATGCAGCGATATAAATAATAATTTTAAATTCAAAGTTTAACCATAATAAGATAAGTAATAGCAAAGCAAAAATGACATAAAAAGTTACCGTCAATAATATTTGTTTGGAATGCCTCACACAATTTGAAGTAGAGAAATAAGAGAGAAGAAGAAGAAGTTCTATGAGGACAATATTTTACTTTTTTTAAAAAAATTTATTAATTAAAAATAGGATATAAGATCCTCAAGTCTACAACTAAATCCACCCTATGATCTCCATGATAAAAATAAAATAAAATTTCTCCACAATATATTGCAAATAAACACCCTTACATATGAGAAGGGGAGACACTGGAAAATTCAATCCATCCAATATCATCTCCTTGCCATTTCAATATTCTACCATCTGATACACCTGTGTAAGGCCCCTCACCATCCTTATCAAATGCAAGGCTCTCAGGCCCTACTGCTCCACCATTGATAAAAGCTTCTTTCAATCTGCTTTCTTCTCCATTTTCTGCTGGCGACTGATACAAAGAAAAATAATCTTTCATCGTCAAGGAGAAGAAAGAGACTGCAACGGCCATAAGAGCAGAGAGAAGCATATTTTTCTTCATTTGGAGGGAAGAAGTTGCAGAGGATAAAGAAAGGGTGAAGATGGAGAATATAAACGAAGGAGATAGCTATATATTGATTGTATTGGTCTGTACGCAAGCTTCCAGAATATGACACAGAGGCTATGTGAGTGTGTTTTGTTTTACTTATGTGGCAGAATGAAGACAAAATTTGATGAGGATTGTTTTTTTTATTATATGTTAGCTGTGGTGCTATGTCATTATTGTTAAGCACAATAATATTATAACAAAATTATCATTGTGAGCCTTCTATGGTTTTAATAATTTAAAAATTTTCACAATAGATTTAAGATGAAAAATATAATTAAAATTTTTGAAAACGTATTCTAATACAACGAATCACATATTCAATTAAAGGAACAAAAAAATCTACAGCTATGATATGATTATGTTCATGAACTAAAAAAGATAGAAATTTTTTATTATTCTAGAAATACACCTTATAGTGATATGCTAAAAAAAAAGCTCATCAAAATGGCCCTTGAAGTAATTTCTTGAGATATCCAGGATAAAATACTCAAAACCCTTTCACTATCTTATATTGTATTAATTCTATGAAACCCAGACATAGCTATTTGAACAGGAATTCTACATCTCAAAAGTATGATCAATTGTCCTTCATTCAAAAACAAAAAGATATGTGATTTTTTTGATCTTGAGAAGCAATATAATTGAGTGAACATGATATTTATTTGGTTGTTTCAAGGCATAAAAGTGTATCTGAATGATATTTTCATATTAATAAGAAAATGTAATATCCAGCAGCAAAGATCATCAAATACTATAATATTTTGGAATCGCTAAAATTGTCAACATATTATGAATAACTCAGCACTAGCATATTAATTACACTTAAATCAACAATGCTCATTAATATAATTCTACAAATATAACTCCAAAACTCTAATTATCTATCACTAAAAGGCAAATATAAGAAACATAGATTCCAATTCTATCAAAATCTTCACACAAATTTAAAAGATCTAAAATCAACCTTTATATAGCTAGAGTGTGCGCCACCATAGGGTGAATTTCTCTTATTATGAAATTTCATCTACGTAATGTTGAAAAACCATGTGCCTTCCTATTCAAATTGTTCTCCTATGAATAGACGACACCAATAGATGTCGGGAAGAGGTCAATAGTGTTGTAAAGTGAAAGGAGGATCGACCATGTGACAAATGTATTTAACATTCTCGGGCTACAGATATGGGTCTATGGGCTTCTACTACTATTACAACAAATATTTCTTAAAGGATTATTAATATTCGACAAATTTTACGTTGGTTATCGACTCCCTTCATTTTTCTCATCCAGGACTTGAGACCTTCTACTAAAAATATATATTAATATAAAAGGGGATCTAGTGATTTGCTCTAAAGCTTGTTAATCAATCACAAAGAGAAAAACCAATATATAGCACCTACGCAAACTAGTTGTGTACATGTTTACTTAAAATTTATACATAAAGCTTTGGATTGCATACTATATAATATGAATCATTAATAGGAGCATACATCTCAGATTTTGTATGTGTACATAGAATAGCATACGAATAAAAATGAAACTAAAATAATAATGGGTACCATTTCTTTCAATTAGATGGAAATCATTATTACTACGAAATTTGGTGAGCCTAAAAAGAATTCTAGCAGAGTCAGTCTTTATTTACATATAATTTCCGGAAGATTAGAATGATAAAAAATACTTAAAGATAAAACCAACTTCACATATCTTGTTATTTTTCTTCCCTATCTCAAGAAAGGAGAAAACTCTCAATAGCTATGACTTTGATATTTAGGAGAAGAAAAGAAATGATTTCAGCAACTATCCTTTGATTTATGGAAGAAGAAAAAATTGGAATAAATTTCGATAATATGTTTTTATTTGTTTTGGAGAGAAACGACTGAGAATTTCTTACTATTCTTGATTGCAGAAGGAAGAATTTCCAAGACCAGATGTTCTCCGTCTATAGGATGTTACGGTATTTTATAGCCACAGAAGTCCATTTCACTAACACAGTTAGATGAATGTTCACTTATAGTTTAAATACGCATTTTCCATAAAATCTTCTTACAATCTTATTGTGTTTAATGTAAATTTAATAAGATTACTAATTCAATAATTTACATTTAAGCTCTTGATTTGGCTTTTTTAAACTACATTTCTTATTTATGGATAGTTTACACAAAATTAGTTTAAGGTTCTATATTTATTGATGTCTTGCATGCATGCTATCAACTAATTGTAATATATATTTTATATTTTAGAACTAAGAAAATAAAAAATATATATATTATATAAAATTTCTTATGCTTTCCTTATTATACTCTTAACATTCATATTAATTTTCTCTCTTTTATGAATTTGCTTTTACCATCATTGTAATATACGTTATTGATATTTGTAACAAATCTCAATGCATCAAATAAATAGAATTGGTAGGTTCTAAGGCGTATGGCTATCTTCAAAAAGTCGAGTTCGAAAAATTTCCGGAGTTCTGTCAACACTGTAAGATCCATGGTCATTATGTTGTTGAATGCTTTAAGTTACACCTTAATCTTATTAAAAAGAGTGTTCAAAAAAAGGAAGACAAGGTTAACAATGTCTTTCCTGAGGATAATCCTATAACTAAAAATAGTCCTATAAATTTAATGCAAAATGTAATCGCTTTACCTGAAACTGATATTCCTGTTACTAAGGCCAACCATACTAATAAATTTGTTGTGTTAGATAACATCAATGAAGATTATGTAACGGTTTCTAATGTTATTGCTAAAGAGCCTGATATCTATATTTCTATAGAATCTATGCTTAATGTTTCTAAAGATATTTCTAATAATGCGCCTAAGCAGGTGGTGGATCTATTGAATGAGAAAGAGAGTTTTGAAAAGGATGGATGTGAGGAGGGTGAAATCATCCCTACCGCATGTACTAACACGGGTTTGAATAAGGTGGATGAGATGGAGGATAAAGAGGATGCTTTATCTGGTAATGAAGATGGTAAGTCCTATAGCTATGAAGAAGAAGGTGAATTTACTAAGGTAGGAAGGAAAAAGGGTAAGTATATCTTACCTTTGACGCCCCGGTCTACCCGTGCCAAAACTTATTCAAAATCTTGCAATGGTTAAAGCTCTTATATAGAATATTAAAGGGATTGGTGGTAAGGATTCTATTATTAGATTTAAAATTCTTTGTAGAATTAATAAAGTTCAGCTCCTTGTTTTATTTGAACCTCTTATTGCTAGTAGTAAATTTCCTATTACTGCTTAGAAATTTGGTTTTTCTGATTACTTTGCTAATCGCTCTAATAAAATATGGATTTTTTGGAAAAATTGTGTGGATTTAGATATTCTTGATGACTTTCAACAAGTAGTTAATGTTCATATTTCTATCTTTAACTTTTGTTGTAAAGCCTCTTTTGTCTATGCTGCTAGCACTAGACTTGGCCGTTTAGTTTTGTGGGATCAGTTGAATACTTTTGCTATCAATGCTAATATCCCATGGATGGTGGGGGGAGATTTCAATATTATTTGCAACACTAATGAGAGAATAGGGGGCCGGCCTCCTAATATTAATGCCATGGATGATTTTAATTCTATGATTAATAATTGTCATTTAAATGACATTGGTTATTTTGGTAATTCTTTTACTTGGAGTAGAGCTAAGCTTTGGCAAAGACTTGACAGGTTATTAGTCAATAATGAATGGTTGACTAGTTTTCCTTTATCGCATGTGGAACATTTAAGTAGATCTATTTCTGATCATGCTCTTTTACTTTTATGTATTGATGCTAAGCGTAATACTGTTCCCTCTACTTTTCTTTTTCAGAACATGTGGTTATGTCATAAAAACCTTCGTAATGTTATTGATTATAACTGGTCGACTCCTATTGCTCCGGATAATAGCATTTTTGGTATTCATAGGCTGTGGGATAAATTGAACAGACTTAAGCAAGTGTTAAGGTGGTGGAATAAGAATGTTTTTAAGAACATTTTTATGAATATTATAGAAGCTGAGAAGGAGGTGATTGAATTAGATCAAAGGTATATGGATAATCCGATTAATGATAATAGTAATGCCCTTAATAATGCTAAGAATAACCTTGCTGATTTACAAGAACAAGAGGAAACTTATTGGAAGCAGAAGGCTGCCTCTAAGTTAATTGTTGAGGGAGATAGAAACACTAAGTTTTTTCATACGTTGACTAACAAGAAAAGAGTGCAAAACCATATTTTTAAAATTATGGGGGAGGGTGGGGCTGTTTTTGAAAAAGAGGAAGATATTTTTGCTTCGGGGGTTGATTACTTCAAGCACATTTTTAATAAAGATACTGTTACTACTACCATTGCTAACCCTTTCATTATTCCTAAGTGCATTACTGATATGGATAATCAAATGTTAATTAAACCCCCTTATGAGGAGGAAGTTTGGAATACCATAAAAGACATGAATATTGATTCTACTGCGGGCCCTGATGGTTTTACCACTAAATTTTTTGTGCATTTCTGGAATATTATCAAGTTTGATGTCTTAGATGCTGTTAATGATTTTTTTAATGGGACCCATATTCCTAATTTTTTTGCTGCTACGAATATTGTCTTAATCCCTAAAAAGGAAGGGGCCAACATGTGGAATGATTTTCGGCACAAGTCTTTGTTCTTTTTTCAACAAATATATTTCTAAATTTTTTGCCACTAGGCTTGCTGACATTTTACCTAGAATTATTTCTGTTAATCAAACGGGGTTTGTGAAAGGTAGAAGCATTTTTTATAACATTCTTCTTATGCAAGAGATGACTCATGATATTGACTCCAAAGGAAAAGGTGGGAACATCATTTATAAACTCGATATTTCTAAAGCTTACGATAATTTGAGTTGGAATTTCCTATATAAGGTTTTATCTTAATTTGGTTTTTGTCAAGATTTTATTAATTTGATCAAGAATAGCATTGAGAATTGTTTTTTTTTCTATCATTATTAATGGTGGTAAACATGGTTTCTTTAAGTCTTCTCAATGTTTGAGACAAGGTGATCCCTTATCTCCGACTTTGTTCATTATTGCGATGTATTATCTTTCTAGAGGTATGGAGGAGTTATATAAAGGCCATAAATCTCTTTATTTTTGTACTAAGGGTGGTTTACCGATTTCTCACCTTTGTTTTGTTGACGATTTTATTATTCTCTAATG